CTTTCCCTCATTGGAAGTCAAGGAACTCAGCAAGGGTAACACTGATTTTCTGTCCTGAGGGAAACTGAGATTGTGTTAATGTCAATTACCTGGGAAGGGAGAAAAAAGACAGTTTCTAATTTGACGATATCATCTTGTTTTACTATTTGTATATGAATTGTGTTTCGACTATCATGGAAAATGTTTAGTTTACATTTGATTTTTCTTTGATACTTTCCCTTTTTGCCTTAAGCCATTATTTGTTCAAATATAATAATTTTAATACTATGTGAAATGTTTAAAAATTTAAAAGTTATATAATGTTTTGCTTTAAGTATAATTTCAAATTACTAATTAATTGCTTTTTTTCATGAATTTGGAAAATCATCAACTGTTAAAATATGCTCACGCGTTGAAGATTTTCACCTTATCAACTGTAAAGCATTATATACAGGGCAGGGCAAAAACAGGTTTACAGTTGTTCACATGGAAACTAACAAATAACAATACAAGAGTAAACTCTGTTTTGCATAGTCACAGCTGTCAACCTCCTTTGGCCCACGCTGCATTTGCTTTCGTTAGTAAGCGTTTTCTTTTTCTCTGGAGGACCCGTGGATCAGAATGTGGGCCCTCAGCTTGAGCTTAATGCGCCAGATGTCTTTTTATTCCTATTTTCTCTCACCTTTATGCAGAGAGAGTTACTTTATCTTCTGAACCTTTCGTTGAATTTTGTTTTTTGCAGTCAAATTTTATTTTCATAAGCTCTTTCTTGTTCTTTGATCCATTATCTTTTGAAATCATTCTAAAGAGACAAATTAGTGTGTGTGTGTGTGTGTGTGTGGGGGGCGGGGGGGGTTACGTTTCCCCGTTTCTTCCCCAGCCCGGTTTTCTGTTGGCTCCTCGGGTCTGACTTTAGGCTGTCAGCTTTCCTCTGATACCCGGTGCTTCTTGGTTGTCCTTTCGTACTTGAGGCTGAGGGACTCTGATGTAGACAGGCTTTGGTATGGGAGGCTGTGCTGTAGGGTGGGTGTGGGGTGCCAGCCAGCTCACGGGGGGCCCGAGTCCCACACACTGGGGGCTGCTTCCTGTCAGCAGTAATGTGGGAGCTCCTCCCGCCCCGACACTGGCCACTCAGTTCTGCGTTTAGCCCTCTACTCTCAGCTTAAGGAAGGAGAGACAGTAAAGGAGCCCCCATCTGAATTAGAACCCTGATTTTCCCTCTGAATTTGAAAGGTTGTACTTTATTGTGAATTGGATAAGCAGAACCTGTCGTGGTCTTAGCCTCTGTAATTTTACAGATTCTCCTGCGCTTAAGGCACTACAGGATGACTTTCTGGAGTTTGCTAAAGACAGAAACTTCCAGGTGCTGAGTTTCGTCGAGACCCTGCCAACCTCCATTGGGAGCATGATTAAACTCCACGTGGTGCCCGTGGACTCAGCAGGTACGCCCTGTGCAGAAACTTGTTGGCCGTTAGACACCCAGTTGGTGATACTTAGCATTTAATGATAAGCGTCAGCTTTTATATTTAGTTTCTCAGTTGTAGGGAGATCTAGATTCTAGCCCTGTTATTCTTTTCAGCCACAGACTGACATTTCTCTGCAAACATATAACCTTGGTATTACCACTCCTCGCCCTTCATTTAGTTGATTAGGCGGCAAAGGCTAATTGGCTAACTCTAAATTAGCCATCAACAGTGAACTCTGTTAAGGTAAGAAGACAAAACCCTTCTATTAACTAGACTGAAAGGGGCATTTCATTTAAAAGACTGATAACTGCATGCAGAAACCTTAAAAAAGATCAACTAAAGGTATGGAGGCTTTAGTAAATAAATGGAAGATATATGGAATATTCAACAAAGATTTTGATGGAAAAAACTAATGTTAAAAATAGAATTTCTTCACAATCCTGAAGGTGAGGGAATGACCAGTACCTGCTGCTGTAGTGTATTGCACTGTGCCATAGGCTCTTTGAGAGTAGGGCCCGAATCTTCATTCTCCTTGTGGCTCCTTGATCACTCCATGCCCGTCGCTCCCGGACTCCTCAGCTTGCTGTGAAACCCTTTTCTGATCACCTGGGAAGCGGGCTTAGGTGCTGTCCTGGGAGCCCGCAGTGCTCCCTGCAGCCAGGGACAGTGTGTAGCTGGAGCACTTGCTGGGTGGCTCTTTGGTTTGCATAACATATTTTGTCTGAACCTCCTTACATGCTATCTAAATAAAATGAAAAGCCTCAATGCTCTAGTGAAACCTAAAGATGGTTTTTCTCCAAGAATGTGCCATAGGGTGAGCAGTTACTATTTAGTAGTTGGAGAGCTCAAGGAACAGCTGCTGGTATTTACCAAAAAGGACTTTGGGAGCTTAAACCAAAAGCAAAGTTAATATTATAGATTAACTGCTTGTGGTGACATAGCCTCATCATAATTCTGTGTGCACCTTCTTCTGTGATTCCATATGGTGTCACCAGGGGGCTCTCTCCCTCCCACACCACCACCAACAGCCGGGTATGGACAGCATGGACCCTGTGTGAGAGACTCCCATTCTTTATGCCAGGACAAGGGAGCTCATTTATGATCAAGTTTTATAATATAAACTCTGGAAAAAAGTGTTTCTATTATATTACAGTGATCAGACCCTATTCACTACTAAATTAGGAAGTAGGCCAGAACACAAATGAATTTATGAAACACATAAATTATACCTGCTGAGGATCCATTCGGGCATGATTACTCAAATATAGTTTAGCTACAGTGAAACTTAGCTAAAGATCCCTTATCTTTTAAGAGTCCCTGTCACACCAAGTGAACATTTAGAACTGAAAATCTGGCTCTTTCAGTATTGATAGGGGAGAAGCTTACATTTTTACTTAGATGTTATTCACATTTTTGTTTTCTTCAGATTTAGGCATTGGAGATCTAATTCCTGTGGATGTGAACCACCTGAACATTTGTAAGCCAAAGAGAAAGGATGCCTTTTTGTACCAGCGTACCTTACAATTCATCCGTGAAGCTTTAGCCAAAGACCTTGAAAACTGACCATTACCTTCCATTTTTCATGTGAACACAGTGCAAGAAGCTCGGTGGTCTCTTTCGAAGCACTCATGCAAACACAGCCGCTGTGGCATCAGCGTGGTCTGGAGCATGTTGCAGGCAACAGAACACTGCAAAGCACAAACGCAGAAGTGGCGATCAAAGAAGGAAGGGCTGACGGATTCTTTCCATTTCAAGGAGCTCCATGTGTGCAGTTTATGCTGTGCAGTGTCGTCCCTGGTGAACAAGCTGCTGTGGGTAGAGAATACCTTTTGTCACCTGTGACCGTCTATAGCTTACCCTTGCGGAGCACTGATGGCTTCTGAAGGGATAGCGAATCGTCAGCTTACCATAACAATGCTATTGGGAGAGTACCTAGAATGGGCAGGAGAACGATCTAGAACATAAGACTGTTTTTGTTCTGGGATTCCATGTGCTGTAAATTTTTACTAACATGTAAGTATAAACCTTTGTCTAACATGTTAACTGTTAGACCTGTTGCCAGTCATGGCTCAGTTCCTTGTATGTTTTTATTTTCATATGGCTGAGAACAGATATTTCTCTTCAAAAAATCTAGCTTACAGAAATTCTTAACAGACTTTAGCTACCTATACTTGTATTTTTCTCAGATAAAGTAGCTAATCCATTATTGATCACAGTGTGAATAAAACTATCTAAGCCATTACATAGATTAGTAATACTTAGTATCAAGATTCTCAGGTTTTCTTGAGGCCAAGTAAAATATCCCTTTCTTTCCTGCTCCTTTGACCTCCAGCAAGTGAGAAATAGGAAATCATGTTGACTTTTTCTAAATAATGGTATTATTGAAATATACACATTTCATAATATTTACCCTCTTAACTCAAGGTCGTTTATTTTTAGTATATTTACAGAGTTGTGCAATCATTGCCACTGATCTCAGAACATTTTTCATCCCCCCAAATAACCCCATAACCCGTAGCAATCACTCCTCACCTTGTCTCCCCCCAGCCCTGGAAAACACTAATCTACTTCGTCTCTATGGATTTGCCTATTTTGGACTTTCATATAAATGGAATTATACACTATGTGCCCTTCTATGTCTGGCTTCTTTCTTTTAGTATAATGTTTTCAGGGTTCATCCATGAAGAAGCATGTATCGGGGCTTTGTTCCTTTTTATGGCCAAGTAATATTCCCTTGTATGGATATACCACACTTATTCATCAGTTGATGGACATTTAGATTCTTTCAAATTTGAGGGTATTATGCTGCTTGAACATTCATGTACATTTTTGTGTGTGTGTGGATGTATGTTTTTCATTCTCTTGGATGTATACTAGGAGTGGAATTGCTGGGTCTTATTAAGCTCACTAGAGACCTGGTGCACGAATGTGTGCATGGGTGGGGTCTGATCTGGCCAGCCCGCCCCAATCGGGGCGATTGGGTGGGGCTGGTTGGGGGTGGGGGGGCTGCGGGCAGTTGGCCGGCCAGTCCTACCCCCTGGTTGAACTCCCAGTCGAGGGGACATTTTGCATATTAGCCTTTTATTATATAGCAGCGGTTCTCAACCTGTGGGTCGCGACCCCTTTGGCGATCAAACGACCTTTTCACCGGGGTTGCCTAAGACCATCCTGCATATCAGATATTTACATTGCAGTTCATAACAGTAGCAACATTACAGTTATGAAGTAGCAACGAAAATATTTTTATGGTTGGGTCACAACATGAGGAACTGTATTTAAAGGGCCAGAAGGTTGAGAACCACTGTTATATAGGATATAACCATTTTGAAGATGATGAACATTGTAGAATGGGATAGTCAAAGCTAAAACGAGTACAGAATCTATAGGTAAACAGGTCGTCAGCATCTAATGGTTTAATTATGCAACAACTTAACAAGTGACTTAACCACTGTGTTATTGTGTAGATACAGTGAATGCAGTGGTTATTAGCTAACAATAATAAGTAACAACAATAAATGCTAGCTAATGGGATGATATGGGGAGAAAGGGTAGATATATTTGGTTCATTTGCTTTTCCTGTTTTCCATGAACCATGGCAGGTAAAAAACATGGTTGAAATAATTGTTCATTAACTTAGAGTAATGCAATGAAACCCCACTCCTTAAAATCCCTATAGAGCTGTTATAGCTGTGCTTTTAAAATAAGGTCTGAGAGAGAGATCCAATGTAGTACTAGATTACATAGTTTTTCAGGCAAGTCATTTAACATTTCTTTTTATTCTGCCTATGAAATGGATATAAATGTACACAGGCTGACTTCATCAGTTTTGTGATAGTTAAGTCAATGTTTTTAAAATAATCATTGCATGAAAAATACTTTAAGAACACAAAGTATGAAAACATGTATTTGAAATAGTTTCAAACTTAGACCATCAGTAAAACACTCTGGGAGTTTGATCAGTTTTGTTTAAATACCCTTTCTGGAAAAAAAATTCAAATGAAGCTTCATAGCACCTTCTCCCTCATGTGAAAAGTCACTTTTTATGATCTTGTTTAAGAAGGAAGTAAACAGAATATAGGTGTTACAGAACAAATTACTGAAAGGAAGCTGTAAATATAGCTAGAATGAAAATGAAAAGTCAGTTATTCTTATAACCTACTTCTTTCTTTCTGGTTACATTTTCCCCAAAGCTACCAGATTACATTGTCAGCCCTAAATTTCAAGGGCACCAAGTCCCCTTTACCCCAGGGTTTAAATTAAATGTCGCCACAGAAAGAGACTACCAAAAGGAGGATCATGATACCTTTCTCGACAGCATCTTGACCAGTCACCCAGGTTACGCTGACATGCAGAATATGGTGGGGGATGCAGGCCTCTGCCCTGTGGATGCCTGAGGGTGGGGGCACCAGCATTTACTTCCTACTGAGAAAAATAGTGCAGTAATACAGTGATGTGTCACAATTCACAATGCCCCTCAAACTCAAATTCCTAAAATTTGAGTTTTAGGCATACCTTCCTGAATTTTCACTCCTTCGTAATATCAAATATATTGAATGAGTTTGTTTTTATTGACATTTGGTATAAAAATCATGTCCATGAAAAAATTGAAACATGTTCAATAAATGTCACGTTAAAGTACTTACTACAACTGATTGTGCCCTTGTATTGGATGTTAAACACTCCCAATAGCTAATCACTTAAAATCTATTAGAAATTTGTTTATGAAAAGTGACATTTTATTATGAACTAGAGGCCCTCTGCTGGCCTGTGCCCTCTCACAATCTGGGACCCCTCGGGCGATGTCGGTAACCGGTTTCAGCCGGATCCCCTCAGGCCCGATCCAGATAGGAGGGAGCCCGATCCTGTGTGTTGAGCATCTGTCCATAGTGGTTGTGCGTCATAGCGACTGGTCGACCAGTCATTCGGTCGCTTAGGCTTTTATATACATGACCTTAATAGAGCAGAAGACATAAATCAGTTTAATATCTAAGAAAATTTCAAATTTAGAACAAGCCATTTCTTGTAAAATTTCCACTTCTGTGTTCAACTTGGCCTTTAAGTTTAGAAACATGGCCATGGAGTTCAGTACCTGGTCCCAGAGTTGGGAAACACTAAACTTACTAGAATCTGATTTTAGTTTAATCCAAACTTCACTGCATAATCCATGGACGCAGACAGTGGGGTGGTGAGGGCCTGGGGCCAGGGGCCAGGGTAGACTGAAGGGGGTCCATGGGGGAAAAAAGGGGACGTGTGTAATACTTTCAACAATAAAGATTTTTTTAAAAAGAAATGAGAAGCCATTTCAACTGATAACCCACAAATACTAAAGATCACAAGAGTCCAATATGAACAATTATACATCCAAGTATCTCTTAGGAAGATAATGTAAGACACCTCCCCCCCCCCCCGACCCACCCACACACACACACACACACACACCATTTATAAACTATATTCCAGGTGCTTTGAAGAGTTTCTGTTAGCTCAGGCAAAGCCTGTAATTTTTCTTTTTTTAAATAACACATGCTAAATTTTTAAATTTTTTTTAAAATTAATTTTGAGAGAGACAGGAAGGGAAAGGGATAAACAGACATCATTGATTGGCTACCTCCTGCACGCCCCTTACTGGGGATCAAGCCCACAACCCAGGTATGTGCCCTGATGGGGAATCGAACCAGTGACCTCTTGGTTCATGGGTGGGATGCTCAACCATTGATCCACACTGGCCTACAAAGCCTATAGTCATAACCACTCTAACACAGATTTGTTTAGGTTTCTGTTACCCACTATTATCTACAGAATAAAATCCTAAACTGTCACTTAAGGTCCTCTGAAGTTCTTTCCCATAGCTAACATCCTATCCATGTACATAAATCCACTTTGCTATTTGTCAAATCCTTAATCCTGGCCACTCCAAAGTTCCCTGGCCGTGTGCTCACAATCACTCATTTGTACTCTCCTACGTCACAGAGTTAGAGGTGATTCCATAGACACAAACAGTTGGCCTCGTAAGGGAGTGTCTAACCTCCCTCCCCCACAACCTTGGAAAAGAAAGTTTGGTAACCAGCGGTTTCCTCCTCCCCAACCGAGCCCAAGGCTGTGCAATCAGGTCAGAGGACTTCAAAATGGTACTTACTGGGCAGGAAGGACTAGCCATCTTTATTATTTTGAGATTGTCAGTATATTCTCATTCCTGAAAGTCATCAGAGAACATTTTTAATATGTTTTTTGTATTAATTAGCTGAAAACCAACCTAGACAGAACATGAACATAAACTTACTCTCTTCTGCCTGGACACAGTAATGCACTCAAACCAATCTAGCAGTCTAAGATTGCAAGTTTGCTATAAGACTACAGAAAATGAATTCTCGGATCTCACCTCTTATAAATATTACAGCTTAAAGTTATGTATGGTGTCATAGTGGTCCCTCCTGGCATTATTCAAGTCACAAATTCTTAACCAAATTATTCATATGCTTTTTCAACTCAGTCTGATGGTTGGAAAAAAAACAAAAACCCAAAACTCAACAAAGGAATAACTAGCAGTCACATTTCATCCAGAACAGAAGGCTGGCCCAAAAAAGCTAGCCCAAGATTCTTTTCATATCTAAAAAGAAATAGGCAAATTACAAAACAAAGACAAACCATTTAATAGATTTTTTTTTTTTTACAATTTCAGTACAAATGAGCACTTCAAATAAACATTACAGGGTTTTTATTAATTGCCAGTTAGTCAATAAATAATTTTTGTGGCTTTCCTTTCTGAATAAATCACTTTGTTATAAAGAGAATGTTTTAATACATTACTTTGCTTATACACATCAGGAGAATTCTATTAAGTGTCTTGAGCTTCAACAACTTTAAAACTTTTACAGGAATTGCTTAGACAGATGTCCTAATTCCAGTAATTTGCTGGAATAAATTTTAAAATAGCCAAGAAGTCGGAGATGACATTGTACAAGGGAAGACAGCGATTGGAGTCACAGAGAGCGTGTTGAGTTGTAAAGTGCCTTGCCTAAAACACAGGACCACAGTGAACTGCAACGTCTTACAGAAAAATAATGAAATAAACGACAAGGTCACAGTAAAAAGCCCCGCGTGGGAGCATCAAAGAAAAACCAAAAATACAAACCCCACAGAATGACATTCGCGGATGCAGCTGCTCACTGGAGGTTATTCAACTGCCTGCCCCTAACCTAGGAAACCTACAGCTATGAAGCATCAATTTAAAAAAATAAATAAGGCAATGCTAACTGTCTTCTTAAGAGGAAGCTAGTGTGAGAGCCTCATGCATCAACTCAAAACCCACTCTGTGCTGTTCACTGAATGTGAACACCTGTGATCAAATAATATTTGTTCATTTCTTCATGTTAAACTACTGGTCCTTTTTCTTGTGGCCTGCGTCCCGAGGCCCACACAGTTCTGTGTGTTGCTACTTCCTGTTGGATTCCTAAGTGCTACTTGTGTGACGAGCACCTGTCTCCACCGAGATTCAGTTCCTGTACCTCTCACTGGCTACTGGTTTTCTAGAACAAAGAAGTAACTTGAGAATTAGGCCTGTTCCCAGCATTGCAAGCAACTGTTGTGGTACTGACTTTCCCCTGCTTTTCTAACTGATGGTTACATGTATCTGCTTTCAAATTCACCTCCTTTTGGTGGGGAAAAAAGGTTATAGAAAAAAAGAGTGATTGCATTAAGAAATCTTTGCTTCCATTTCTAATTGTTCTCTAGTAGCAACTGAATGCTGCAAATCATTGAACTTCTCCAAGCCTGCTACCCATCCTGCTTGTTTGCGTCCGCTAACACGTTCAAGGATTATGTTATTTATTTGCACTTGTTAGAGAGGTAAAAATAATATGAAGCACTTACTACAGAAGGTGTCCTAACGCCTTGGGCCAGAAACACCATCTTTTTTTTGACATGTCAACTCGCGTATTCTGTTTATCTCGATGGGTCAGTAATGCCTTTTTCTTTGCTCAGTTTTCAGATGAAGTGAAATAATGTCGTAGTTTTGTTTTTGTCTTGAGTGCCAGATGTAAATGATCTGCAGTGTACCTTGACAGTGGCGATGAGAAATAATTCTGAACACCCAGAGGTCTGATCAGCAAAGAGAGAGTGGTATTCCCTGGGCAAGACCATCCCTGCCACCCCAACCGTTAGCATTGAGTGTTGGAGTTCCCTGGTCACCTTAGGGGTAGCCCAGACTCATTGCTGTGTGACCCTATGACATGAGAGGCTCCTCCGTATGGCATGTGATACACTAAGATTTCTGCCAGTGTATTAGCAAAAACATAATATCTGCTCCAAATGAAACTCTAGGCCTTCCAACATTGTTTTTTCAATGTGGAGCAGTATGGCGATTTCTTTTTAAATGATTTCATAGGCAAGCAGTGGTGTTGGAGACGTATAGGGAAAAGGCAGGTAAAAAGTAGACCTAACAGACATATAGATAAGCCAATCCAGAGACACTGCCTGGGTTTCTTATGTAAAAGGGGCACATGGTGCGTTCCTTCCTGACGCTGCAGCCACAGACCAGGATAAAGCAGACAGTCATCATAGCGTTCTCACATGTGTGCGTTTACCAGGTACAGACTAGAAGGGAAGAGAAGAATTCACAAGGTTTCCTTTAAAAGGGGCTCGATAGCGTGTAAACACTGGCTTACGCAGCCCACCAGGGCGCAGGGCTGGAGCAGTCTATGGGGTGTGCATGTCGGAGACAGGACACAGGAGTCTTTAGCCGGGTTAAGCTCAGGTGAAGCCGATGGCATATGCTTCAGGGCCCCAAAAGTACAGACACCGTCTCCCACACGGTCAAGGTTAATACAGACATGCACATAAACAAACACCAGGGAGTGGGCAGCCCAGGCGTTGGGTTGCCCTCTTTGCTGCTTCCGTCTCTGACTTTTCTAACCTGGTGCGATGCGGGCAGGTACGGCTCTTCATGGTCCCAACTACCTTTCAGTGTGATCCTTACTTTATGCACCCACCCCCCGGGTGATGCACCAAAAAATTACTCTGAATCTGTAAAATACAAACGAAATTAAAAAACACCACAGACACACGTAAATGGAACAACCATTTAAAATTCGACGGGAGGGAACGTAGGCGTTATCCACCAGTTCCCTTTTCTAAAACCCACACGCGGACTCTCGCAGGACGGCCTCCTTCCCAGGCCCCTGAGAGGAAACTCGAAATGCACACGCGTCTGGAATAAAACATGCCTCGTGGCTGAGCAATAACCTTATTGAATAAGAGACACGATTTTTGTAAACGACACAAGAGGGGGCAGAAGTACGAACGTGGCTTCAGTGCCTTTACACAGATGTCTCTTCTGACGGGGTTTGAGGCCAACGGGCTTTCGTCTATACAGCGATGCCTGAGGAGGAAGGCAGGCGGTTCTGCGAGAGCGCGCTGTCCACGGCTCCCACTCAGGTTTCCGCCAGTGGGTCGAACACCTGCAGCACCGTCCTCTTGTCCGTGTCGCTGATGGCGGCCCAGGGACCCAGGTCTTGGTGCCTGTGCTCCGGGGGCGGCTCCTCCGCGGCCGAGCCACTGACCTGCAGCGGGGCTGTGTGCGCCCTCCTGAGGTTCCTGGTCCCCGCGTCCAGGGGATCAGAGCTCTTGGACAGCCAGGCGCTGTTCACCAGGTTAGGGTGCTGGAGAAGGCTCCAGAAGGGGTCCTGGCCATCACCCAGGAGGGAGGCCGCCTCTGGTCTGGGCTCCTTGTGGCCATCAGTCTGGGCGCCCCCGTCGGGCTGGGGGGCCGGGGGGCCGTCACTGCGGAGGCCGCTGCGGGCCAGGTCCTGGAGGAGCTGGCTGTGGGTCTGCAGCACCTGCAGGTGGAAGGCGGCTGACCCCCCCAGGGGGCGGCGTGGCCCCAGCAGGGGCATCGGCTGGCACGGGCTTCCTCTCGGCGCCTCTCCCGGGTGGAAGGGTTCTTGGTTTGGGAACAGGAGGGACTGTCACAAGAGGAGGGGTTTCGAGGCTCGTCTCCGGGGACCCGATTGTGAAATGGACAGTCTGTTGCCCGAACTGTTCTTCCGGTGACGTGGGCTGGGGAAAGGCAGGATACAGAGAGTGAGAAGCCAGCGTGGGGGTCGGGCGTCCGCGCTCAGGTCAGCCAGGAGCCGTGGGGGACATTCTAGCAAATGCGAGATCTGAGAATGTCTGGGATGCGGCCATGTGACGGGGGTGGAAGAACACGGCAGAAACACACACACTGACCAGGAGGACCGCGGGGCCAATGGAAGACGAGTGGGAACTTGAAAACCAGGGCCACAGGAGTCACCGAGACGGACCCCCTTTGCTCCCTGCGGAGAAGGGGTGTCCCCTCTCCTTACTGACAGCAAACCCCCCTGCAGCTCTCGATCGAGGCCGCGGCGTTGCTAATTCACACACAGAGAAGCAAACGCGGAGGCACCTACGTCCCGGCTTCGGGCTAACTGAGGGACGCACGGTACGCTTGCTCCTGGAATCTTGGTGTTTAAATATGGAAGAACGGAAACATTTACACGGACACTTCGCTGCCTTGGTTTTAATTCAAAACCACCCTAAGGACAACAGCCGCGGGGGGCGAAAGGAAGCTCTGTACCAGCGTGGCCGCCGGCAGCTCGGGCTTCGGCCTTCAGCGTTTCCTTCGCTTCTTTAGGAAACACACGGCAGGCACAGCCCCCCTCCCGCAGCCCCGCCACTGCTGCTGCGCAGCGGGCTGGGAAAATGAACTCGTTTCTGCTCCTGGCTTTTAAGACAAAAGACATAGCGAGGACGGAGGGGAAAGAGGAGGAAAATGACAGATGCCACAAGCCAAAGCGGGCAGAGGAGACAGCGAGCTGGGCACGCACGGGGCGCCCAGGCCCCGGCTCACACGTCCACAGGGGAAAGCAGAGGTCATCTGTCAAGACCGGCGAGGGGTTACCGAGTGTCCGGCACTAGAACACTGAGGTCAAACGGAAGGTCCAGATGCCTCTAGAGGTGCCAGTCTTTGGGCTGCTACTGTCCTGACAAACTCATGTCTCTGAAGCAGCAAGCAAGGCGGGGAGGCTTGGGAGCCAGAGCAGAACACAATCTGCAAGAAAAGTGGCGA